TCACAGCACTTCTGACCCCTCGACCTCCGTCTTTGGCAAAGAATGCCGCCACAGAATTCAACAAGTAGTCGCCGTTGCCGTCGCTCTCGAACGGAGTGTCCACGCCCCCACCATCTTCGGGTTCAATCCCGTCGAGGAGAGCCGCGGTGAGCTTGTCCTTAAACAGGCCCTTGGCCAGAAGCTCCTCTGCGGTCTGGACGGGAATCAAGGAGGATGCATTTACGGCGACAAATGTGATAAATTTCACGGATCGGCAACGCTGAGAAACTGATGGTGAAACCGGATTTCTATGAAACGGAGAACGTACAGCAGTATACATGGAAGTGACCACGTACGGAACACGAATGGCACAACAGACGAAAAAAACTCTCTCTATATAGTACATGGGATTGACTATGCAGCTACGGGCAGGTCACACAGTAATCCTTCCAATACGAGGCTGCTACCCCACCTCCCAAATAACAACATCGTGACGGAACATATCGGAACATGTTTCGAACATGTTTCGTACACTCCGTTCGGAAAAAAGAAAAATATTGTGAGCAGTCTGCTTTGTTGATAATAGAGCATAGAGCGTCAATGATTGTGGACCCGACCTTACGCACACGTCTGGGACGCATCTGGCAGCAGTTCACCGTCAATGGGATCTTCCCGCTTGGAGACCCACTTCATCACCTTCCGCAGCTTCTCATCTCCGACGGGTATACCGCTCGTGTCAGGCGAAGACGGGTGTAGGGCAAAGTCTAACATCCCACGTACCTTTGCCAACGCTTGAAGCTGAGAGCTCGACATGGATCTTGCCGGTACTATGCGCTGTAGATACGCTGGCGTATTGAATGGGCCCGGATTCGGTGCTGATACGCTGGCGTATTGGTCCCACAGAAAGACCACAGCGACCGCAGGTCCGCAGGTCTGCAGGTTTCCACACTATTTTTCCGATTTTTTTGCGGGCAAGGCGGCGGGGATCCTGTACTAGGTCCCCCCCCCCCTTGTGCCGTGTCTCTTGGTTGCTGTGCTGCAGTGGTGTAGTGCAGCTGTGTGCTGTGTGTTGTGCGTGCATCATCTTATCACTTCTACTGCGGTTCTTGTGTGGCCATCGGAACCTTGTACAGAGGTACAAGGTCTATGGTGGGGTATTTTACACATTTCGCCCCCCACCCGGCACAACCGTAGTTTAGTTTACCCCACCGGCTGTGGTCCCCACCGGCCGTGTTACCACCTGAACGGAACCGGTGGGTCTAAAGGTGGGTCATACGGTAGCCCTACAGCGAAGCAACACATTTGATCATGTCCTGTGTCGACTGATGTCTTGTGTATTAACAAACCGCTGGGGAGGGGTAAAGGCAAGGATTTTGCCCCACCAGTGAGAAGGCAGAGTTCGGTTTCTACTGTAAAGCTGTGGGTAGGAATGCTTCTTATGTGCTGGTCGCCTCACCTGCTGCCCGCTGCTGTGTGCTGTACGTGCACGTTCCAGACGCTCGTACCGGTGTTTGTGTGTCGACGGAAGCCTTGAAGGGCTACATACAGCAGTGGGATCGTGTAGCTGAAGGAAGTCTGCCTCAAGAAGAGAAGAAGGCAGCGTTGGGTTCCCATTGGGTGCGTGTAAAACTGTGGGCAGGAATACCTTTCAAACGAAGCAAAGTGGGCGGCCGTCGCTTCTCACCCCTTCAAAGATTGCGGCGGCATCGAGTCCAAGTGATGATGAGGAAGAATAGTCGACTTTTTCTTTTTTTTCCCCGCCACCAACCAACCCTTCTTTTTGTCCCGCAAGTGTCTTGATTTTAGTGTAACCCCCCAAGTGTCTTGGTTTTAGTGTGTGACCCCCAAGTGTCTTGGTTTTAGTGTGGTTCACTACTATACTGATTTTAGTATAGGGGGCGCGACATGGATCGTTGAGTAGAGGGGGGGGTTGGATGAGGGCCCTACTGTTCGCCTCACCTGCTGCCCGCTGCTGTGCGCTGTACGCGCATGTTTCACACTCTTCTACCGATGTTCGTCAGTCGATTGGTGCCTCGTGGGCGGAGATACAGCGGGGGGGATTTAGACACTAATCCCCCCCCGGGGGGCAGGTTGGGACAACAGATATGTTTTGCCCATCAGCCATGGCTGCACCAAACCTGCACCGTTTCCGCTGTACGAGGTATCTCGCGATAGCCCTACATCACAGCAACACAGCCTTGCGTGTCCCGGCTCGATTGGTGCCTCGTGGGCGGAGATACAGACGGGGGGGGATTTAGACACTAATCCCCCCCCGGGGGGCAGGTTGGGACAACAGGTGTAGACTATTTTGCCCATCAGCCATGGCTGCACCAAACCTGCACCGTTTCCGCTGTACGAGGTATCTCGCGATAGCCCTACATCACAGCAACACAGCCGTGCGTGTCCTGGCTCGATTGGTGCCTCGTGGGCGGAGATACAGACGGGGGGGGATTTAGACACTAATCCCCCCTCGGGGGGGGATTTAGACACGCCTTTGAAATTGGAGTTAGTAAATTACTGCACAATATCGTAGAGTTGAAAGAACGGCACGGCTAAACACCCCACCGGTAGGGTAGTTTCTTAACCACCCCCCTCGGGGGGGGATTTAGACACGCCTTTGAAATTGGCGTTAATAAATTACTGCACAATATCGTAGAGTTGAAAGAACGGCACGGCTAACACCCCACCGGTAGGGTAGTTTCTTAACCACCCCACCGGTGGGGTGATTAAGCCTTAAACATCCCACCAGCTGTATCTCGCTGTACAAGACTCCAATAGGCGCAGGACTTCAACGGGTGTGCTGCTGCGGTGCAGGGTTATCATATTCGATAGAGTTACACCATTAGACTAGTCAGCGCTGACTTGTCTAATGGTGTAACTTTATCGAATATATCATTGGATCCATCGTGAGGCCGAAACGGCACAGTTTTCGTGGTGCCACGGTCGGTGGGGAACATACCGCCGCTACCCCACGGGTGGGGTCGATAACGTTATTGACCCCACCAGCTGGATCTCCCTCGACAAGGCTCCAATCGACACACAACCACTTGTAGGAGTGTCTGGTCGATGCACGCACAGCGCACAGCAGCGGGCAGCACCTGGGGCGGCGAACATGTCAAGAAATCCCGCCGCATGACGCGAAACACCCGAAGCGGGTAGCGAACACTGCATTCTATTCTCTTGGAGGCAGACTTCCCCACTGCCGTATGTAGACCTACAAGACTCCAATTGGCACAAGACATGTGCGACTGTGTTGCTGCGTTGCATGGCTATCGTGGGATCCATGGTGATGCCTAACGATAAGTTTTGGTGGTGCCACGGCCGGTGGGGTAAACCACGCAATAGTCCATGCATGCCCCACCGGTGGGGTGGATAAGGCCAAACACCCCAACCAGCAGTAGTATCTCGCCGTACAAGACTCTATTCGAAGCACAAGCGCCATGGTTAGAGCGTCCTTCATGCACTCACCGCGTGCACTACACACCACACAGTACACAGTACACAGCACACACACTGCAACAGCAGCAGACGCGGGGTGAACAATTCAACAAATCCCTCGGTACAGGGAAATCTTGAAAGCTTGCCTTCCTGACTGTCATGTACAGTAGAATATCTGTTGTAAAGTGGTAATTTTCAAGGACCCGAGTTTGGTTGTCCCTCCATGGCTTTTGACTGAGAGCGAGTAAAAGAAAAAGAAAAACAGCTTCGGAACGCCCGCGGCAAGGCGCAAAAGAGTAGCGAGTCGCCAAAAAAAAAAGGAAAAAAAGAGAAAAAAAAGAAAAAAGATGCTCGCGGCGGGTCTCGAACCCACGAAATTGGCCCTAGAGCAATTTTTCCCCCATATATGTTGCTAATCCTTTTTTTTTTTCGCACCGAACCACCCACACGTGCACAGGAACGCCCTCAAACACTATGCAAATGCCTCTACCGCACCTATAGCGTACATAAGTCACAAAAATTGGCCGTTTTCAACAAAAATGTTCCATTTTTGTACAACATTCCCACCAGAAACACGGAAAAAAACTGAACAAATACAGCTCAATGAACAAGAATGCGCCATCGACTCTACGGCCTCCATTCCTTCGGGGTCGGGCGTCTGTGCGACTTGTACTTCTTGTACGCCTTCTTGCTCTCAGGCCCTTGCACACACGTCTCGCGGTACATGAGGGCGTGTGTGTACGCCTTCTTGCAGTAGCCCTGGACTACCGAAACAGCCTGTCTATCCTTCTCTGGTCTAAAACTCAGCGGCACGTTCTTGCGCAAGCATTCCAACGAATATTTGCAGTTCTTTCGAGTCCAGTCCTTCGCTCGGCCCCAAACAAGCTCGATAGGGTTACACTCGCAGTGGTACTTAGGAAGAATGAGAAGGCCCCCCCGTGGCGCTGCATCAACAGCACCAGGCCCGAACCCCCCGTCTTGCTCATGCCTTTGACCAGGAGCCCCCTCTCCCACAAAATCTGCCGCATTCCTTTCAACTTTCCGACATATTGCGCCGGCTTGAGATGCGGGGAGTGGAAGGGGCGATCGTCCCCCCTCCGAAACACCACGTGCTGTACCGTGCCGGCTGAGAGGTTCGGGGTATCTTCGAGGATGGTCACGGGGTCCATCGGCGCAAGCTCTTCTCCGTTCCTCACACCACCGACACCCAAGTTCATTCTCTTCACCGACGGTGCGCCGACCTCCATGCAGTCATGACAGGACGACCAGTCGAACAGGCCTACAGGCTTGTGCTCAGGGTAGAGAACTGTGAACATGTCGAGCACGTCTGACATGTGGTCCAGCATCCTGAGCCCGGTCCAGTATCCCTCCATGTTCTTGCCGTACTCGAAGAGGTGGTAGGACCAGTACTGTCCATGCTCGTCTTCATGAAGCATGTCGATGGGGCGGAACTTCTCCACCTTCACGTTTTCCCCCCGTCGCTTCGCGGCAGCTGAGGCGGCGCATCGTTTCCTGCGGTTGCGCTCCGCGTCCTGGATCTGTGCCCGCGACGCCGAGAAGAAGCCAACGTTGTGGATTATCGTCCCCGACACCATGATCCCCTGGCCTTGTGACTTCTTCACGGGCACATGCTGGCCGTCCCGATACCACGCGCGCCTCTGGTCGTCGTTGGCTGCAAATACAAACAAGAAACCGACAACTTAGGGGCGGCAGATATGGCGCTGTCAACATGTGTGATTAAATTTAAAGTCCCACAATTGAATTGCGAGCAAGATTACTGTTCGCGCCCGGAATTTACACCTAAATTATCGAACCCGCTTTGCTCCGTTTAAAACTAACCTCGAAATATGCTCTCGTCCTGGTAGAGAAGCATGGCCCGCCTCCCGTCAGGGTAGGTTTTCTTGCTCTGCACTCTGGCTTGCAGGTCTTCGGGCAAGTCTGCCAGCGCAGACTCGAGATCATCGACACAAACCCAGACACCACCATCCGGCAAGCGCTCGGTCTCCTCCACCGTCTCGACGTCAACACCCCAGACGATCGCTTCATCCTTGCCCATCGGAATCCATACCTCCATGTAGTCGCGGGTGTCGAACAGCGCCGGGAGGAACTCGTCGTGCCGGTATTCAAGGGTCTTCTTGTCGTCGTGGCCATCGAAGTACAGCCCCTTTTTGCCGTCGTGGTATTCGCATCCCATCTTCTTCAGCCACTCCGTTGCCGTAGAAAGGGAGATTTGGCGCTTTGGCGGCTCGTTCTCCTTCACTTCCACCAGCTTTACTCTCAATCCATGGAAAGCGTTGATGCCGTCCTTTTCCTGCTCCTCCAGCATCGGCATGATGGTGCTGTTCACCCACTTGCGGAAATCCTCCGCCGTTTTATTGGCTTGCCCACTGAGTATCCCGCAGTTCTCGAGCACCCAGCCTTTCGCGAGCTTGAAGACGCCTTCGTCGAGCTCCAGCAAAAACCTGCGCTTGAAGCGACCTGTGTCAGGTTTTTTTATGCGTCCGTGGGCGATGAAATCCCGCTCCCACTGCTGTACTGTTTGAACGGTTCTCCGTCCAACCTCTGCTGCGATGGCCAGTGCATCCTTCCGGTCGAAGCCGTCGGCCTGCTGGGTGTACAACTGGATCAATGTCATGGCCACTTGCACCGTGTGCGCCAGCTGAAAGTTGGACAAACAGCTGTCTTCCGTACTTGTATCCTGCGCGAAGGGGGAGTGTCGAGGGTGGCAATAAACCTTTAACTTTCAGTGGCCAATTTGTTTGACAGCAGTATTTCAAGTGTAATTTTTCAAGGTTGAGTGCAGGCAAATTAATTTGCAGAGCGGGTGCGAAGTACGTGCAGGTTGGTCAAACTCCGACGGCGGAGGTTGCAGATTGGTGCCGCCCGAGAAACCCCGCCACGATAAATTAATAATAATGTCGTGAGATGAATTTACAGCAGTGTAGATTATTACAGACCTCAGAGCCCCCAGGTTCGAGCACGGCATGCGTGAAGAAAAAAGAGGATCACACTTAATTTAGACTGTGTAGACTACTGCCCTCACATCGTTCATCTCCGCGGCTGCGCTGATCGTCTTCGCCACATCACTCACAACGCCGTCGAGGAGCTCGATGCTCTCAGCGCGAAACTCGTCCGCCGCTGCCGCCAGCACCCGAGCTTTCATCTCCGCCCCTTTCGCACGCCTAATCTTCTTTGCAGCTTGAGATGTGCTGTACGTGCCCTTGTTCAGGTATCTCCTCTTCGCCTCTTCGGCCCACTCGGGTTCGAACTCTATCCACGCCCGCACGACTTCTTCCAGACTGCTTGCAGAGAGGTTGAATGCCCCAGGAACGGCCTCCTCTAGTTCCTGCCGAAGTGTCAACGCACGCATCCGCCGGGCCGCCCTCCCCAACTTTCCAAAGGGCCGCCCACTGTAGTCCCGTTGTCCACCCCAATTTGGATCTCGCGATCTTTGCGCGCCTGCGAGACCGGGTTCTTATAGTGAACCAACGGCTGGCGCTGCGGCTCGAACTGCGGGTGCTGTTGAATCCCGCGGTGGTGATCTCTGCACCGGGGCGTACGCTGAGTTCTTGAGTTGAACGGCATCCCAGTCAGCAGCAGTCACCTCGTCTAGATGATTCCCTCCGCGACCGCGTCGCGGTCGCGTGGCTTCCCAGACGTGATCCAGCGGCTCCGCCATTTGAACTCAGTATTGTTGGCTCGCGACCTTGAGTGCAGCACTAACCGATACTTTCGTGGCTTCTGTCTCTCGATGCTGAGCTTGTCGCGCAGCGTGTATCCGTCGGGAACCAACTGCTGCAGGCAGGAGACCCTCTCTTGGTCGAGTTCCATTTGGTTGCCGGTCTTCACAACAACATGTGTACACCTACCGGCGGCTGTGTGCGACGCGGCCCAAGCGGTGGTTCGGCCGCGATTTTTTTGAAATTTGAAACTTATTTCTGTCTAGGGCCTGGCAAAAAAGAGTTCTGAACCAGGTGATTTAGAACCAGTTTGTTTCAAGGATTCCAAAAATATTTATATATTTTTTTTTCACAGCGGTGGTGGGGGCACGACAAATCGTAATTTACCGGTTCCGCCGCGTTTTTGGTGAAACGGTATATTCGGCATAACTCATCACCAAGGTGTTTGTGAAGGCTAAAAGTTAAAAGTGGGTTCATTCGAAAGCCCTGGTTCATAGCTTTCGAATGATGTATATTTTGTTGGGTAAATAACCAGGCCCTAGAGAGAAATTTATCAAGTGGCCTGTGGGCGGGTCCAGGAAAACTACCACTTTATAAACCAACCTGAGGTAATACATGTGCATACATTCCGTAATTGTTGCAGTTCCGTGCATGCACCATGTCATTTGCATTGGAAACATGGTGTCCGTTAGTCGGCGCTCTGTTTTAGGGTGTGTGTGACGACGTGATATATTCTCAGTGTACTGGAGCCGCTTTGCATAGTACTGCATAACGTACGTAAATACGTTCATCGACGCCGCGCTGCAAGAAGCGATGAAAAGTAGACCGAGCACAAGCAGGAAGGTCGTCGCCCACAGGTTAAACCCGTTGGAACTTCCAGTTGCGGTCATGAGCGCTCGGTTGTGCATCGCCACACGAAACAAGTGTCTACATACAATTCATCACGGATTGTAGCCAGCCGCAGCCAAGGCATGGCTCCCCCTGCTGTCCCCGATTTATTGTGTCTCGTAGACTATACATAAGACGATTCCATGAACCCCAGTTCGTTACGCCGATTTCGTTACCCTCTGGAACACGGACATTCGAATATGCCCCCCAACTCTCTGAAAAGGACACACGGGGAATACAGTGGAAATCGTGTGGATCAAATTTCACTGTCGTCATCCTTCGCGTGTTTACTCCTCTTCGTCGACCGGCGCCCGTTGTTGAAATCCCTTATCCTCTTGGTCTGACGGGACTTTCCTTGCTACCCCTCCGGGTTTCCGGGTTCCTCTTTGGCCCCCGATCGATGCTGAAAAGGCTGCCTTCGACCGTCCTTCTTTGATCTCCCCTTCTTGGGCGCCTCTCCAGGATTTTGGACGCCTGTGCCTCCCGCGGACGAGTTGAGAAGATACCGAAGATACTCCCCAACTTTGTCCTGGACGGAAAGCGCTTGATGCAGGGGCACGGACCTCATTATATCTCCTACAAGCTCCTTGCTCTCCGCCATCAGATGGGCTTAGACTCGACGCTTGTCGGAAGCGCTTCTATCCTGCGCGGCCCGCCCCGGTTCAGTAGGATGTATGCCATCCACCGCTTCATCGCATGTCGGTCTCCAGTAGTTCTCGTCTCTGCCTTCGTCATGGCCGTCCCACCCTACGCCGTGGCCTGACGACGACAGCACCGATGATATGCTCCACGGCGAATCGTTGCCATCTTCTCTTCGGCGCCAGCGGTNTTATCTTCGATAAAATCCAAGAAGGCTGACAGCGACGTACGCGCCCACATAGCGTTGTCCACCGCAGCTTCGCCGGCCAACTGGTCTCCCTCGGGATCGGTATCAGGTGGTGCGACCTGAAGAATGTGAGCTTGAGGCGCAATGAGCGAATCTTGGCGAGGTCGTGCTCTTGGAGAGGCAGCGGGTCCCCGTTCTCCTCCACACGACCTGAACTCACCAACTCGGCGTCAATCGACCGCGCTTCGTCTACCTGCGCTCTGACCTCCTGCGACGGAATGAGGTTCGTGTTGAGGCAACAGCACTGTCACTGCAGTTGCTGTACAGCTATTCCTTTAGCTGTGGCTACAAAGTAGCTGGCATGTGATGCGAGGTTAGGTAGGCAAACACACAGAGTGATCTTATTATCCACACAGACGCCCAAGCTGTCTTCACCTGACGGTTACAGACTTGGCAACGCCTTCACAATACCGCATAAACCCATGCAGTAGAATAGAGTCGTTCTTGTACTGCAATTACTCCAACATGTCCTCTCAAGAACTACGTCATTCTACCAATGCATCAGATCTAATTCTCTCTCACTGTCCTCTCGAAACAATGCTATCTTCGGAACTTCTGACTCAATATCAATTGTTTTGCCTTTCTCAGCTGCGTTGCATCAGCAGCGAATGTTTTCCTTCCAACACAAATTCCAGAATAAAAATATTGTTCAAACACATACATGTTTTTGTGTTTTCAACCGCACTAAGACTGACGTCTTTTCATTGGTCAGCCGTTTAGCGCAGTCGATGCTAATAATAAAAATACACACACATACACCATCCAACCCTCAAGACATAAAGTCTGATTACGAAGAGGGGAGGTGATCAAACTCCTAACAGCATGCCACGGGCGCGGAGAAACACCGACGGGTTTAGCCCTTTNATTTCAGAGCTCCCGAGTTGTCCTCCCACACCACGGGTGCTTCTTCCTGAGTCTGATTTATGGTGTCCAGCAGGTGGCGGAAGTACTTGATGCTGTTGCACGCCTTTGACAAAGCCACGAACTCTGCTGCAACGGAAGAGGTCGCCACCACCGTCTGCTTGGATGATGTCCATTCCACCGGTCCA